AAGAATGCGTTGTTGACATCAAGTTGCTGAACAGACCATTTATTAGACACAACAAATGTAAGAAGAATTCTTATTGTCACAGGTTTTACAACTGGAGAAAATGTTTCTCCAAAGTCAACACCAAACTTTTGATGAAACCCCTTAGCCACCCGTCTGGCTTTGTATTTGTTTAAGGAACCATCAAGATTTTCTTTAATTCTAAATACCCATTTGCAACCAATTGCTTGTTTGTCCGGAGGAAGAGGTATAAGGGACCAGATTTTGTTAGAAATCAATGCATTATACTCACACTGCATAGCTTCAAATGCTCCTATTTGGGTAATGAAAGAATGGCACGCATGTGACTCCTACTCTTTTAGATTCCAAAAAATATGACGCATAACCTATTTTCCAAAAAAGTGGCACATCCCATTTTCCCCGTCGAGCTTCTTCCCCCTTAGCGCATCGAGCTTCTTCTCCCCTTCGCCGCATCGAGCTTCTACTCCTTCCCATCTCTCCTTCGTAACTTGCACAATCCACCATCTTCTTCTACTTCCTATTTCGTCCGCTTACGTCGCTCTTCTTCTCCTTTTCGTCACCGCTCTTCTTCTCCTTTTCGCCTCCGCTCTTCTTCCCTTCTTCAATTCGTCGCCGGATTTCCTTAATCGCTCATTTCAGTTCGGGGATGGAGGTGCAGGGTGGTCGCTGGATGTGTTGTTGTTGTTTTCTCTTGATGTTGGCGTGAATTTTCTGTCGGCTCTGTTGATTATCTTCTCTGATGCTTGGTTCTGGTGTGGTTCCGCCGGTGGTCGGATCTAGAATTTGGGGCGGGAATTATGGTGGTTTGCACCGATTGTAGGGGTGGGGTGGGGTGGGGTGAGGGGTGGGGCATCGATTGTGTAAGAGATGGGGGTTGGGGAGTTGGGGGAGAGGGCTGGGCATGGGTGGTGGAGGACGGGGGTGACGATGGTGGTCGGGTCTAGTAAGGGACAATAGTGACAGTGGAGTTAGGGGCAGGGGTAGGTGGGAGAGGGGGTTGGGGTTCATGTAGGAGAGGGACTGGGATTGGCGGCCAGCGGTGGCGGGCGGTGGTGGTTTCCGGCGTGGACGATAGTAGTGGAGTTGGGCGGTTAGTCACTATGGCCGGTCGTCGGGGCAGTCACCGTGGTCGGTGGGTGGACGGTCGCTGTGGCCGGTGGGCGGGCAGTCACTTGGTTGGAGTCACTGTGACCAGAGTTACTTTGGTCGGAATCACTTTGGCCGGAGTCACCTTGCCCAGAGTCACTTTGTCACTACATGGTCACTACAGGGTCAGGTTACTCACATTTTTTGAAATATGAAAATGAGATCACATTTTTGTCTTTTATCCTAATTTTTGTAATATTGGGGACAAAAGGCATATTTTTATCTTGTAATGATATGAGAACAAAGAACATATTAATTAGTGTTTGCTTATATACCATGCATTTTGTTTGTACTCACTGATTAGTCACTCCAAATTGTATTATATTCATGTACAACACACACACATTTGGAAACATTTAATCTTGTTTGTGCTCTAATTTTTTTTCAAATTAATACACAAATCATTAACACTAAGATGCAATCTGCTTTCAATTTAATTCACTTAAATTTAACTTCTCTTCATCTCTCATTGCTCAAGAACATGACATGAGTGCCTAAAATCATATTGAAATTATTACTTAAGACTTAAATACATTTTTAGTTCTTGCAAATTAGAGACATTTTGTTTTAGGTTCTAGCAATTTTTTTTTTGTTTTTCATCCCTGCTATATGCACTATGTATTTTGTTTTTAATTCATTTCTAACTCCGAAACCAATCTATTTAAAAAAAATATTGTAGGTTGCATAAATCTATAGAAACTATTAAATTTATTTTTTTATTTTTTCGGCTAATATGAGAGTTAAAACAATGTAAAACTAATCATTTATATTTTTAAAATATGTATTAAAATTCATCTAAAAATAAAAACTTAATACTTTTGGAATAACATGACAAAGAATTAGAGAGAGCCTATTAATTATATTGTTTAATTGTCAAACATATATTATCATCAGTGATGAATTACAAAGAAAATCAAAATATTTGCAGAAATGTAAAACAAAATGTGTTATATTTGCCGAAGTATTTAAACCAAAAATCAAATTATTCATAGGAGCAAAACATGATTTTTAAACTTTGATTTATATTTTTATATTTTGATTTTTTAATTGATGATTTTTTTAGAGTGAATTAGCCTTTTTATTTCAATATTACTAAAATGAATGAAAAAGACAAAAATGTGACCCCTTTTGATTTTTTCCAAAAAGTGATTAAAAGTCATTTATTCTATTTTATCATACATTTATTATTTTAATATTCCTTTTGCATCCAACAACACCTCTGTGGTCACCGGCACCGGCACCGCAGTCACTGGAACCGCCACCGCCGTCACCGCCACTGCCGCCGCCACCACCGGCACCGCCGCCGCCAGTCACTATCTCAGTGACTCCGGTCAAAGTGACTCCGACCGTCATAGTGACTCCGCCGCACAGTGACTCTGCCGCCCCTCGTTTGATTGCTGCCGACTCGATTAGTGACTGTCGCCGCCCCCCTCGTCAGTGACTTCGCCGCCTCGTCAGTGACTGCCACCGTCTCTCGTTAGTGACTGCCGCCGCCCCAAGTGACTGACGCGGAACTGTACACCACCAATGGGCCACCGCCACCACCACCACCACCAATGACCTGTCGCAACTCTATAGTGACAACCGGACACATCACTCTTTGTGGTGGTCGTTGGTTGCCGATGGCGTTGGGTGGTGGTGGTCGCTGGAGATGTAAAAGAGTGATGTGTCCGGTTGTCACTGTAGAGTTGCGAGTTGCGACAGGTCATTGGTGGTGGCGGTGGCGGCAGTGGCCCGTTGGTGGTGTACAATTCCACGTCAGTCACTTAGGGCGGCGGCAGTCACTAACGAGAGACGGCGTCAGTCACTGACGAGGCGGTGAAGTCACTGACGAGGGGGGCGACGACAATCACTAATCGAGTCGGCGGCAGTCAAACGAGGGGCGGCGGAGTCACTGTGCGGCGGAGTCACTGTGACGGTCAAAGTCACTTTGACCGGAGTAACTGAGATAGTGACCGGCGGCGACGGCGGCGGTGGCGATCCCGGTGACAGCGGTGCCGGTACCGGTGGCGGCGGCCACGGAGGTGTTGTTGGATGCAAAAGGAATATTAAAATAATAAATGTATGATAAAATAGAATAAATGACTTTTAGTCACTTTTTTGGAAAAATTCAAAAGAGGTCACATTTTTGTCTTTTTCATTCATTTTAGTAATATTGAAATAAAAAGGGATAAGGGTCACCTATGTAGCACCGATACCGGTACGCGGAATCGCGGAAACGCGGACACGGGTACGGTGATACGACAAAACAAAAAAAAGTAGGATACGGATACGGGGCCATATTTTTAAATATTAAAAGTTATGGGGGTGTATTTACATATATTAAAAGTTACAGGGATGTATTTATAAATATTAAAAATAGATTTTTTTGGAAATATATACATATAATATCCTATGAAATATACAAAAAAAATAACTTTTTTGGATATATATATATCCTATATATACATATATACCCATTCATTACATATACATCATAATATTTCTCATATACACTAGTGCATCTCGAAATATAAATGTAGACATGTAGTCGATAAGTCATTAATTTAAAATGAGAAACAAGTCAAACAACTACAATCTTGAAATTAAAAGTGCAAGTACCAAAGTTCTAGAATAATTAAGATAGAAAACAATATTTTAAAAGCTCTAACATCTAATACATATTTTCACTCGAAGTATTAATTTCCAGGAATAATATCATCTTCCAAAAAAACTTCCAATGATACGGGTATCCGTCAGGATACGAGTATCGGAAACTTTCAAAAAATTACAAAAAAAATGGAAACTTTTAAAAATTACAGATACGGCCCGGGAACGTACGGTACGGGTATCCTAGAGTATCGGATACGGGAACGTATCCGATACGTCGATACGCTACCCTAGGGAAGTATCCGTGCTTCACAGAGGGTCACATAGGGTCTCGAACTTGGAAAAAATGTCAAATAAGGCCATATTTAGGATGCTCTGTCCGGCCGACGCCATTTGAGGGCGGTTCCCGGTGGATTTTTTTGATGAATTTTTTTGAGAATCTTATTCATTAAGTCTAGTTTACTCATATCAAATTTGAACTAAACTTCAATCAGGAAGGCATTCAAATGAATTCTTGAAGATAACTGCTCTTTTAACTGCGCAGTTATCTTCAAGAATTCATTTGTATTTCTTCCCGATTGAAGTTTTAGTTCAAATTTGAGATAAATAAACTAGACTTAATGAATAAGATTCTCAAAAAAATTCATCAAAAAAATCCAGCGGGAACCGCCCCAAATGGCGTCGGCCAGACATGACATCTAAATATGGCCTTATTTGACATTTTTTTTCAAGTTTGATGCTCTATCTGACCTTTATCCCAAATAAAAAAGCCTAAATAATACTCCATAGGTACCGCTCCATGAATATCTATTCTTTTTTAAACTAAAATATATATAGTGACCCCAACTCTTTGATCTTGAATATCGGGGACTTTGGGGTCGAAATTCGGTTTTCATCGACTGGTGTACATGTGTCTGGTGCTGGTGCATATCAAAATTCAAAACAACTTCTTACGTATCTGTTGAGATTTCATTTGGTACAACTCGATAATTACTCTTTCTAATTTTCTATAACTAACAAAACCAAAATGAACACATATTTTAATAGAGACATTAAGTGAGCTGTAGAATATTTCATCATTTTGGTCTTCAATTTAACGACCAGAGTTAAATTATACTGTCGTTATTAGTGATATACTGATATTTAGGTAATATGAAATAGACTCGTGGGAAATAAAAATAAAATCTAAGTGATTATTGACTCTACAAAAAAAAATAGATTAAATTTACTCCGTATATGTCATGAATTGGTACCCTCGTTATAAATTTCAATTTATTTCTATATTCAATAGGCTGGAAATAAACTGAAGAGTAAAAGCTAGTACATGATCTAACTAATCATTAGGTGACTTTGTTTAAACAGACAAAAGGCTCCTGGGGTGGGAGATTCCACCTTTTGGACCAAGTTTAAACAGACAAAGAAAGATCCATAGTAAACTAAAAATCTGCCCTCCCATCCCTTCCCTCCAAAATCCCGGAACCAAGCAAGCTCGAGAACAATAGTGTGCCCCTCCAGCTCGGTTAATTATTAGAATAAATCTTCAGAGAGATAGTTTTAAGCAGTGATTCCTAATTTGATGAAACACTCCAAGACTCAAAGATCAGCAGAAGAGGAAATGTTTTGTGCAAAATGGGTAAGGTATGCTTCAGCTAACATTTGGCCAAGTTGAACCTGAGCTTCTGTAGTCAAATGGAGTTTATCATCCTTGAGATGCAATCCTAAGGCATCAACACAAACCACATTTGGAAGGCTAATCATCTTTTGTGATTTCCTTACTTCTCCAATGTATTTTTCATCCCCTGATGCAATAGCAACCTGAATGGATGATATTCATCAAACAACATAGATCATTAGAAATTTCATCACATGCAGATTACTACTTCTTTGATTCTTTTGAAAGATCACGCAATTGCAAAGCATGAGAACTTACCTTTTTTTAGTTTTGAATCATTGATTATAAGCTTAAGTTTATTTCTATATATACTCGAGTATATTCATGTTTTCAATATAGGTGTGTGTGACTCTCTGCAAACGAAATATCACGTATTCTGAAAGACAAAATTGACTTAAAAAAGAGAGATTGAGATTATCTTAATCATATGTCAATTTGGCGCTAAATGGAGATTGATAGAGGTTGAAGAGACTAAAAGCACAACAGCATACAAATGCAGGGATGATAAACAAAAAGTAATTAATATTGTAAAGAAAACTAATTTTAGAGGGACCTGAGTCACCTGACACAATATAAACACTATACATACAGGGACTAAAACCATATTTAAATCTTGACTATATAGATAGGGACTTATAAAAATCAACAAAACCATGAATGGATAAACAGTACTGAGAAACTTATACAAAATTGATGAAAATGACATTGACACTACTACAATAAAATGCCAACTGACCTGAATAATTGGCAAAGAGGGTAAATTCATATCGACACGGAAGTTGTGTATTAGTGTTTCCATATTAGATTTATAACTCTCAGCATCTTGTTTCGATAATGTATCACTCTCTCCTTGATACCATAATAACCCCTTGATCTCACAACCATCTCCGCAAACAGCAGCTTTTGCTCTACTAATCATGTTTTCATACAAAAGTTCCCCACGTGCCCACTCCTTTAATGCAGTTCCACCTACAGCACATGGCACTAGGCCTATAGCACCTACACTCTCCTTCACGGCATTTGAAAAAGACATTCCTGGTCCCACGCCACAGGCCTTCTTGGTATCAATGTCGTAATGCAGTGGCTCAGTAGCAGCCTCCCAGTGACGCTGTGCACTGAAACGAAAGATTTTGGATGGGTCAGGGCTACACTGAGAAGGAATTACTCCATCCCAGTGCTTGTGCTTGTCTACTCCACCACGGCCAGCCATGTTGCTTTGGCCTGATAGAATGAAGATATTCTTGGGTGACTGGACTGCAGAATCAGTCTGGCTTGACTTTGAGCCCTCCATGTGAAAATGGTGTAAATCCGGATGCTCTCAGAAGAACCTTCTATATGAGAAATAAACGATAGGATGAAATTCTTATTCTTACAAGAGAATAAGGGTTTTGGTGTTGATTTTGCACACCATCGTCACACCTGCTCAAAGAAGTCGCATAATTCTAAAATGAATAAAAAACATAAACAGAAGAACTCTCAGAAACAGACAGCAGTCCATGTTTTAGGGGCTTTGTTATTAAACCTGTTGTGTTTTGCACATGCTTAGGGCAACTGTATAGTTTTTAACCAAACCAATATGCGCATTACTTGTGAAAAAGCATCACAGGGGTCATGATCCAGTATTCTAGACCTTCTAGTGCCTATATAGTACACCCTGATGCATCATGATATTTGTATTCATTCACGAAAACACAAATAAACATTATTTAAAGGGAATATCAAGCCACTGTCAACAAAATTGAGGAGCATTCTATAGAGAAAAATGTCAAAGATGAAATGGTTACAAATTGGGTCTGAACTAGCCAATAGGTACTTCTTCAAGCTCGAAACTACCGTCCGCTAGAATTACAAACTATTACGAGAAAAATATAAATAGAGATTAATTGATAACTAACAGTAAAGAAAATTCAAATTAGTTGACGGAAGAATGAAATACTGCTGATACTTTGACGTATTAACGTATACTCCGTATCTCTTACCCAAAAGGAAAAATGGGAATCGAAGCAAAAGCAATAGAAAAGGATCAATCCAATTACCCGGATCAAGTGATGCAATTTAGTCGGAGAAAACGCCAGAGGGAAGGCCTTCATCCAAATCATCCATAAATCTAACCACCTCTTCTGACTTCCGAGTAATTCATAAGTCATAACTGTGATGAGTCTGATCCACGTATTACATAATCCTCCCCTTTGAATTTATATGGCTAAATAAAATAAAATACATTACAAAAAATAATACATTATTCTCTTTATATGTGTCGGTCACGACGACTCATTAAAACCTTGACGAGTAAAACCCAATGGAACAAAAACTTGATAAAGGCAAAAAGAGTGAGCACATATATACTGCCCTTGTTGACTACATGACTTCAAGATTTCTCTTCAAGTCTTGTAGAATCCAATCCATCCTGGTTATAATCTTCTTGTAGCAATATTTGCACTATGTGTATGCCTCATTAAAAACCTTGTTGGAAAAATCCTTTGAAAAAAAATCAATCAAGGAAAAGAGTACATAATATATGTAAAACGATGTTGGATTGGTTGACTCATTAAAAACCTTTAACTAAGAAAATCATGAGGAAAAACTTAGTAAAGGAAAAGAGTACAGTCACTGGCCTTCGGGGCCTAATCTTTTGGATTGCATTTGAATTTACTCTTCTAGAGAAAAATAATACTCCGAATTTTATGTATCATAATGTGTTATTTCAAAGTCGCAAACTGCCTCGCTAAAACCTTTGATCAAGAAAACTCTATGGGACAAAAACTTGGTTAAAGAAAAAGAGTACAGTTTCAAATGATCTTCCGGACCAATAAATCGTTCGATCTCACAAGGACCAATTAAGACCTTCAGGGTACTATCTTCCGAACAAATATTAGAATCACCCTTCTAGAGCATAATAGTCTTCTGGATGTTATGAATCTTTCTCATTCTTTAAAAAACCACAAAATATCTTAAAATCTTTGGCCAAGAACACCTTTTGGGAAAAAACTTGGCTAAGAAAAAGGAATATCACATGATCTTCTGGATCAATTATTTGTTTCACCTCAATCAACTCCATATAACTTGAGTCGATGAAAATCTGTAGTATACAAAACCTCCATCATTATTTATACAGATTTGATGGATATCAGTAACCACATGGGTGAGACCACCTACAACACCTACCCCAGCCCCCTTCCTAGCTCTTCAATCGTAATACCCCTTCCGTGCTCCCCAGCTCCCCTGGAGACCCAGATCCCCAACCACAACCCTCCTTCCCTGAGCCACTAACCACAAGTCCACAATACCTACGTGCTTTGTGTTGGGTGTGTTTCGAAAAACAAAGAATATAATTAATAAAATTAATTAATTAAAATGACTAAAGAAAACAGAAAATAGATGAAGCAGAATTCAGCCAGAGCTCGTGCAACGTACGATGTCCTTAAAACATATTCGTCGCCTCTCACAGTGCTAGGAGTGTTGCAACGACCGTTTCCCAGGATACGGTGGCTAACGAACTAATGTTTGAGCACACAAATGAAAGTTCCGGCGAATGGGGGCAAAGGCAGAACCCTCAAGATTTTTTCTGGAAAGCTGGAGGTGTTTTAGAGCTCAAAATTACGTGCTAACTGTGTATGATTGCATCTGTTGTTGCAAAGCACCTGCCAGCCATTTATAGGAGGATTTGTTGTGTGTTGATGGAGAGTTAATGGTCCTGAACGTTGGACATTAATGACCAGTCTGTTGGGCATCGAATCGTCCATGAACTGTCCATTTAACGCCGCATAAAGGCATATGAACGTTGGACATTTATAGTTGTAACGGTTCAGAACCGTTCAGCCGCGAGACCAGAATACCCCCACCAGAACACCCTACGAGGTGTTCAGGTCTGAAGCCACCACAAGACATCATGGTCTTCTGGTAGGTCTTCTGGTCCGAAAGCCAACAGAAAGCGAAGCAGTTCTGGTTCTGAGCAAAAATAAAATGTTACGGGAAGAACAAAAAATTAAATTGTATCTTTGAAAGATAGATTTTCAAACGACATTCATGTCCGCAGGTCGCCCGCGCACGCAAGTTGCAGTTCTTCTTCTCCGTTTTCAAGATTTGATCATCACCTCTTACGCGTGAAGAGAGTCTTTCCCCGTAGGAATCTTAACTCATTCAAAAAGGGTTCCCTTTATAAGGGGGTGAAAGTCCCTTGGGTTTTCCGGTGTGTGATAAAGCTCATTAGAAACCCATCATTTTTTAAGTTTTTCCGTTTCAACGAGTGAACTTCGAGAATCAATTTCTCATTCACGCGTTATCCATTTTGAGTGTACCACATATCGAATTGTAGCCTTTAACACGGACAATCCGAAACCACTTTGAGATGACCCAAATCGGAAGTGGAAACCACTCAAAACATTGCACCAAATTGATCATTTAATGAAATTTTTAACACATTTTTCGAACGCTTTCTAACCCTGACCTAATCCCGACATTTTTCCGATGCACAAAACCCTTTTCCCTGCTACCTAATCCCGACTTTTCCCCATCGTCTGCCCTATCCCCTGGCCCAAGCCCTCCCAAGCTACTGCCCCAACCCCTCCCAATTCGATGTGACAGTCTGAAAAAGTTTTGAAGGACGGAAAATTCACTAAAATATGATTAAAAGTTGATACAACATAAAAACAATTTGAAATGATAAAGAAAATCCACTAATAATGTATATTTTGTTTGATCGACTTGATATAAACTAAGCTGTGAGAGAAAGAGAGAGAAAAAATGACAAATAAAATCATCCATCACTACCAAGTAGTGAAAGAGAGTCTTCTAGGATCCTTTACATCAACCCTCCAATGCTCATCAGGAAATTTCCCATTCATCATAGCAATCCTTCTCCATTTCCGAATCCTTGCATCCATCTCACCACTCAGCCCACAATATTTCTGCAGACTTTTGGGCATTTTCTCATACACAGCCCACCACTTCTCATGAGCGGAATCACTCGCAAATTTGTGGTACTCCAACCTGTCCCAGTTACAGTCATAATCTTGATAACACGCCCATGGCTTCAGCCCCAAATAGTGTATCGCATATACATCTTCAGGTAGACTGTGCTTCAAGGTGGATCTACAAGTCTGAGTTTGATTAGGCTGAAAAATAAGTATACAACATTTAAACATTAGCGGGTGAACTAAATATAAAAATACTAGGAGGTGTCTCACGTCAAGGAGACTTCCAAATCATCTTCCTCTTTGGATTTTCAGATATGTTTTGATTATATTTTATAAACGAATTCGCTTATATCATTTCTCTGGTGGACTTTTCAGAGACAAGGGCGGCTGCAAACAAAAAAGAAAGATGACCTTGAAGTCGTCTTGGTGAGGCACAACTTCCAATATTTTTCTTTAAATTTTCCGAGCAATTTTAAAAATTGGAGTTACGGTTTATCTTCTTCCTCTGCTGATTTCTAACGGCGTTAGACACCGGGTCCCTTTTCTGGGGTCAAATGCATAAATTAAATGGTATGTTAAATATTGGTATTGTTGCGCTTTGGTCCCTTAACTATTAAATGAATCAAATTAGTACCATAGCTATACATATATAAATGTTTCAACTTGAGATTTTCTTCAAATTTGCGGCCAAAAGTTCCTTCATGGCGATAAAAATTCCATGTGTAGAGTCACTCTATTGTGATCACATGTACAAAAATAAGGTGAAGTAAACTTTACACATAGAATCACGACCGCCACATTTGATTTTTTTGTCGGAAATTCGAATAATATTCCAAGTTGAAACATTTATGTATACTTAATGTCATGTTTTGATTCATTTAAGAGTTAAGATACCAAATTACAACAATACCAATAATTAAGGTACCATTTATGCATTTCACCCCTCTTTTGTGATAATAAAATTTAGACACATGACTTAACCATAAATATATGAAACATTGAAACACAAGCTCCTATATGAAAATAGATGTAACCATAAATACTACTCCCTACTTTTTCCTAAAATATTTTGTTGAGCAAGTTTCAGCTTACCTTAACTCCAACATTGATTTTCTTATCCTCGTCATTGTGATTATGGTTCGCGAAAACCTTGAGCCTGTTCACGCCCATGGGCAGTCTATGCCACCAGACAAACATCTCGTTCAAGAAACCCTGGTCGCCGCCGTTGTAGGAGGCAACCTCGTACCTCCTCTCCATCAGGGCTTCGAAGGTGCACGTGGAGGGCTCCAGGACCATGACCCCGGAGTTGAAGAGGTGGTTGTCGTTCCCGGCGGCGGAGAGCTCCGGGAACGAGAAGAAGGCGTCCATGTTCTTGACCACGATGATGTCGGAGTCAACGAAGATGACTTTGTCGTACCCCATCGCCGCCAGCTGCTCCCATATCCGGAGCTTGCTGTAGTTCCACTCGTTGTAGGCGTCTCTCGCCGCGTGAGGGCTGCGGATCCGCTCGATCGGCGCGGTGGTCCACCCGGCGAGGCGGAGGCCGCGGAGGGAGTGGGCGGAGATGGAGGAGTCGGCGAGGAGGACGAGGTCTTTGGTGGAGTTTGACTGGATGATGCTTTGACCTAATGCTATTGCTCCGCACACGTACTTCTCCGAGGAGTGGAGAACCGTCACGTATGCTTCTCTTGGTTTCTTTACTGATTTATTTGAGGAAATGGCTGCAAATAATAATAATCTAAATTGAAACACGAATCGGTCGAGCAACTAATATTAAAATAGGATCAAACAAGTAAGGATATATAGGGAAAAATAATAAAAATAACCCAAATTTTGAAGGGATGTGAGGTAAATACCTTAAATTTTTATATGTAATTTAAATACCTAAACTTTAAATAAAAATTTATTTTTGTATCATTTGTCATGTATTATTTATTTCTTTCAAAAATATAAATTTATGAAGTTAATTGCATAATTTAAAATATAAAGTTAAGTGTTGCAATTATATAGATTGGGGGTAACATTATTTATTTTCTGATGCAAACTTAAACAACGTGATTGATGAAACATACCGAGTATAACAATTAGTTTGTTACTTGCAAATAAAATCCGGTGGCCATTAGCTAACAATTTGTTATGGTACAAGCTAGAACAATTAAAATATATACTCCGTACAAATTAAAGTACTTATAATTACTGTAATTTCCAAACGTTTTTACTTATATTTCCAGACTTTTCCCTTTTAATTACTGTAATTCACACATAAACCCCAATGCAAGCATTATTTCACCATGAATTACTCTTCAATTATACTTGTAGTCCGTATAAATTACCAATTAATAAATTCAGTAAAACAATTAAATTTTTTTAAATGGTAAAACAATTAAATTTATGAAAAATAGTATAGGGGATAATTAGACTAGAATTGAATGCGTACATAAATATTTAAAATCACATACCAAGTATCTAAGTATTGAAATTTAATCTTTCAAGAGAAGCATTGAAATTTAGAGCCCGTTTGGTAATAGCCAAATCGACTGTATTGGCTGATTCTGCTGAAATTTATGAAGTTCTGGTTGATGTGGCTGTATTGGCTGATTTTTCTGATTTGTGAAAAATAATAATTAAAAATACATTTTATTAAATAAAATAAAGAAAAAATTATATGAAAAATAGTTAAAATAACCTTCTAATTAACTTCAGTCAATACAACTAGAAAAGTAACTCCAACCTTACTTTTTCTTATAATTACTCAATTCAAACCGTAAAATTAAAAGTTAGATATTTGATGAAAAAGTTGGTGATGGAGTATATGGCTCGGGGACTCCCGGCTCACATACTCCCGCAACCTCAAACGGGCTCGATAAAGCCCAGGCGGCCAAAATCCAGCAGCCCAAGCACCATGCGACACATATCTCACAGGGGTTGCCTTCGGCACCATGGCCGAAGGCCTCAAACTCAAGGACGCCACTCCATTTCGGTCCAACTGCACGCCTGGAAATTAATTTGGGTGTCCGACATCAGCCTTCAGACAAACAGCCTTCGGCCCTGGCACCGAAGGCCTCCATTCTCGACAGAAAGTCATCTGCTTAGTGTCCAACCACCACATTTAATGTGGTGCCACGTGCCAGCACCCGCATAGCACGGGGTTCTCCGCCATAGACTAGCTTACACGTGTTCATGCATTTAATGCACCTAGCATTTATGACTAGTATAAATAGCGCCCCCTTGGCCGGTTGTAACGACCAATTGAATATTTATTGCTACTACACTTTCTCTCTCTTACTTATTGCTCTGACTTCTCTCTAGATAGCACAACGGTATCCCGGTAGTGACTATCTATCAGATGGCTTATAAGTTTGAAAAGGAAAAAATCATGGCTACCAAACGGACACTTGATATACATGACATCACAATAAGTCAAGTAGTAATTTAATTCTACTCTATATAAGATACTAACGATTATGCATAAGAATGAATGCTAAAAACTTAAAAGGATTTGATTTTGTTGAAGGGAATTAATATATTACGTAGTAATATATATATATACACTTATGTGTACAAAACTATATAAATGGTCAATAATAATAATATATAAATTTTAATTACCGTGTTCAACCAATGGACGAGCAAGTTGGCATGAACCGATGCGCATATCCACCTTTTGCTTCAATTTATGGAAATTAGGCTTGTAAATTCTGACATCTTCTTCATTCCATAACAAATCCTCACACCCAAAAATTTCAAACATTGGCTCGCATTTGCCAATAAATACAACGTAAACTGTCCCATTTCGTCCACTTCTCACCACCAAATTACTTGCTACCAAATGTACCTGTAACTTATAGACATCCCTCTTGTTATGACCACATGGCGCCTTTGCGAGCACAACGTCTAGCCCCGAGTACTTGTTCGGGTCGGGCATGGGAACCGTTGGACACTTAGGTCGATTCGAGGTGCTATCTTCGTCGATCCACTCCGGGAACAAATCGCTCCATTTTATATGTTCGGAGACACGTCGAAATTTTACATTTACGATATCTATATTTTGACCAAATAACAAGCTGTTATGTAGCTTCACATCTACCAAACCGATTCTCATCTTCTTGTGCATGAACTCATTCGCCAGAAAAACATACCAACTTGGAGATCTCTTCAAATTGAATTGGGGAGGAGGATGGTGTGGGCTTAAAAAATAATGTAAATCAGTAAAGGTCAGGTAAAGGGCAAGTAGGGTGAAAAAGATGAGAAAAGTCATGAAGCATTTAGGCTTAGTTAGTGGAGGTTTAGAAACCATTTTTGCATTGAATGTTGTGTTTGCCTGCATGGTTTACACATATTTATACACTTACGTCTTAACTATTTTACCAAATAGAGTAAATTCATAGTAACAACAACAAATATTTAAATTGGAGACGAAATCATTTCAAATAGTGCGCCAATGTAAGCTGGTATACATATTTAGTTCGTTTTTATGGTTTTGAATTCCTAACCATTTCTGGATTTGTATTTGCTGGTATACAAAATGATATATTCACTAATTCACGACAAATAAATATTGATACTTGATGGTGTACTCCTTAAAATCTCCGGTGCGTTGCACGGGATGAATTTCATAAATATATTGTTCTCTTTTGGACTCTATAGAAACATGTTTGTAATAAGAAGCTTCATACGTGATATCTATATTCTGTAATGATCACATTACAATTAAAAATTATAAAGTTACGATAAAAAATATAATATTTTATCATGTAAAATGACCACTAATGTACATACATTGTACAAATAGGAAAACACCCATTCGAACTAAATTCATTCAAAAAAATATTTGGCGTGGTTTTGAATTTTAAATATTCAGAAATAATATTTAAAATTGAATAGTTTTATAGCATAGTTCTACATTGTCGAATTGTTAGCAATAATTACTTAACTCATATTATTAGTAATTAATAATCGTTTCAATGAATCACAATTTACAATACTAAGATATGTTCGATCTTAAAAGACTTAATTCTTTTTATATAATAGCAATACTATATGGAGTTTTGCTTTACCGCAAAGGCTCAACCGCTAAATCACATAAGTTATGATCTCTGGCTCATTTCACCTTATTCTTTTTTACCTAACTCAGCGGTTCCGTCATTTCTGTGTTCACTCAAATCAGTTACGGGAGTCTATATTTCAATTTATCGCTTCTCTCCCTATTAGCGAGAACCAAAACTATCTATGCACCATCGTTTTCCATCTCCATTTTCCTCTCATCTCCTATTTATTCTCCATATTTAGTCAGCTATGAAATGGTAACAATTCACTATCTCTCTGATTTGCTTGCTTTACTCCAGTTTCCTTTTTTTGGTAAACAGTTACTCCAGCTTCCTTTCCCCTCTATGAATTGCTTATGGGTCCATTACACTCGATTTTGAATAATAATATTTTAGCATCCAGTTCGGAAGGGGTTTTCCTCATGGATATCGATTGAAATTTAAAAATATAAAATGTTTGCTTGCATAGTTAAGGTGTTCAATTGCTCTTTGCTATGACTTGGGGATTAAAATCCAAAAGTAAGCTAGATTACTGACATGAATTCTTAATGATAAGAAAAGAATTCGGACACACTAAGTAGAACTCAACCATATATTAGCTTCAGAATTATGCATAAAAGTTTACAGGAAGAAGAAGATATATTTTGAATTATCTTCAACTACTTTTCAATCAACTATTTAAAGAAAATGGAATTACAACCAATTTCAGTTTAACAATTAACTTATCCATTAGCTATCATAAGTTCAGTCATAATCCCACGTGGCCAAATACAGTTGACTCAGCTGTGAATTCATTGCAATCCACCCCCTAATTTGAAGCTTGTCATCAAGCTAGGATTTCAATCCAAGGAAAACTCAGACCATTGGATCATTGAATAAACTGCTGCACTTTTTCTTCTTTCGCCATCCACTGCAGCCTGCAGGAATAGAACTTATTATAGGTAATGGTCCATGAAGCTTCCTCAATTGTGAAATTCGGAACACAGGATGGATCTTAGATTGGTCAGGTGATAGTTAGATGATAGTTTGCAAATTGTATGCTAACATTCCAATCTTATTTAGAATTTCAAATGGACCAAAGAACAAAGAGCTTAGGTGATAGTTTTTTATTCGATCTGTAAGCGACAGAGTGTTGTCCATATGGTTGAAGTTTGAGCTGTTTGACAAACACTAAATCACTGATCTGAAATTCTTTGTCTGTCCTATACTTAATAATAGATAAGTATTGAGTTAATGATAACGCTAAGTAACAATGAGACAATTTCAGGATTAATCTACCCTGATTTCATGAATTTTAAAATTTTAGGGTAAAGCTCAAGCAAGCTAAAGCTCGGATTCTTTTGTTTCCACGATATGATCTTTGGTGACATGAAATGCAAAACTGAAGTCGTATGATGATAGGGAGATGCAACACTAAGCTTATAGGTGATCCAGATTAACATATACTCGTATGTGTTAATATGACTAAAGGGATTTTTAACAGACACATGGAGCTAATTTTCAGCAGCAGTTTGACACTTTGACATGCGGAGCTAATTTTCAGCAGTAGTTATACATGTAGATTGTGGAACTAATTTTCAGAAGCGCTTACTTTCACCGTGTGATAAAAATGTAGCAACTTTTTAATACCAATATGTTTGAACAGGAAACCTGCGATAAAAATGATAGCTCATTTTCCTTTACAATAAAGATAAGTTGATTTTGATTATATATTCTCGTCCAACCAATTCAAGACTTGATTTTGATTTCTGCCTAGCTCTTTATAGTGCTTTGTTAGTTCTAAAAACAACTACATAGTGTTTAAGTTCACTAACATACACAACAAACTTAAAGTACTTAAAGTACTTAAACTTAAATTTCCTCTTTGCCTATTTTACTTGCTCAATTCAAGTTATGAACTTCCTCTTGCTAATTGCATATGAAAAATAATAGTTGGAAAAGTCTCTCAAACTTATATCATCCTATAGACAAAACAGAGATATTTTAGGTACAAAAAAATATTATACACATTATATTTGAATACATATTCGAAATGGTCTACCTGAGAACGCAAAGAAATCATCTTTCTTTTGGTGTACTTTTGTATTAGAGGCCATTTGGCAACCCTCATTTTCGGCTTATCAGGCTTATCAACCAATTTTTTTTACCAAACACGTAAATTTTGCTTTCGCGCGCTGAATTGTGTAATAATTAAGCCGAAAAAGTAAGGTTGGAGTTACTTTTCTGGCTGTATTGGCTGAAGTTACTGTAGATGACCATTTTAGCTATTTTTACATATAATTTTGTCTTTATTTTATTAATATAATATATTTTAAAAATATGTTTTTCTTGTATCAGCAGAATCAGCCAATGCAGTCACTTCAGCCAGAACTTCATAAATTTCAGCAGAATCAGCCAGAACAGCCGATTTTCATGCTGCCAAACGGGCTCTTAACTTTTATTCAACCTGAACTCGGTATACCTAATACAAACACCATTCTATTTGAAAATGAGTTGATAACTTTTCAGGCACATGAGAAAATAGCCCACTATTCAAATAGAAAAGCACCTAACAAAAGTCCAAATGAGCATTCTATTGTTCACATTGATCCCCCTAATCCCTATTCTAATAAAAAAGCAGATCACCAACTTCAAGAGGCATTTTATTCTGGTTGTAATGTTAGTAGTTAGAGACATGTCCTTGTTTCAAAGGGAATATCTTTTGAACATATATGGCTTGGGATTGAAAAGTGTTGAATGCATACGACTTTTAATCATCCAACTTGAACTCAATATGCCTAATTTAAAAGCAAGAAATGAATTATTTTAGATTAATTTTTAAAACAGAGTGTTGAGAGCTTAATCTACAAAGCAGCCCTAACATGCTAAAAATAGTCCTCTATCAAGCAAATGGAAAACAAAAGTCTGAAATAATGAAATGTATGGTTTTAAAATGTTAAAAAATTGTTATTTGTTAGTTTGAGCGGAAAACTAATGCTTAAAGTAAACAGACTAAGCATCCTAACTAAACAGAATGCATGTCAACTTAGTTGTGTTATATTACTCATCTCACAATACAACTCTTTTATTTTAAACTCTAACTATAGATATCAAGTCATTCTTCCAATATATATGCTCATCAGTCAACCATGACTTAATTAGCAAATGCATTTGTCACTACAAAAACACTACAACAAAAATAAATAAATAAATAAATAAATAAATAAATATATAACATTCAACTAATTGATTAAGATGCTAAAGAATTGGATGAAGAAGCTAAATTGATTACATATTATTATATTAAAATAAGGAAAACAGAATAATCAAAGAATTGATATCATGAGTTCTACTCTTATTTCATGTTATATCGCTAGCCTATAGAAGTATATAGTGGTGAAGAAAAAGAAAACATACATGGGTAGAGAGCACTATTGAGTGGGCAAAGCATTATTCCGTAAAGCACGTTGAGTTCAGCTACTTTTGTGTTTTGTGTTCACCTTATTTGAGCATAAAAAGATTTTTCCCGCAAATTGTACTGTGTTACCGGTATACCATGCGCATGGTATACCAGTACCAAAAATGATGTCGTTTTCCTCTTTTTCAAATGCACACGGAGCACTACGAATCTTTTCTCCCTTTCCCCTCAACTCCTCCGGGTTTCTTTCTTTTATTTTGTCTTTTTTATTTTCTTCAATTATTCTTTTATCTCCATCAAAATATTAAAAGTTAATTGCGATTTTAGTTATTTTTATCTTTAATTAATTAAAATATAGTTGAACCAACTTTTTTGCTTTACCAATTTATTACAAAGTTTTATTAATCCAAAGTTTTATTAACATTTTATATTTTATTAATCCACATAAAAAATATATTTTATTAATCCACATAATAATTGAATCTATTTTTTTATTCTCTATCAGTACATAAGAAAAAATAGAAATTAGTTCAAATAGGACTAAAACTATGGCAAAAACCTAAAATAGGAATTGCTATGTTTTTATTCCAAAATAGGACCATATGAGTCCTATTGGAAACATACCTATTTTTGCATTCCATTCTTACCCTTCCATTAAATATGAATTAAAAATAGTCAAAAGCCATAATTAAATGTTTAATTCATAATAAATTCGAAAAAAAATAAAAAATTCGTAGAAATATAATTAAAAAATTTATAAAATTTTTATAAAATAAAAAATTCAAAAACGTTTTTTTTAAATAATTTTATTTTTAAAAAAATTAATAAAAAATAGTAAAACTCCGTAAAAAAAACTTTA